GAAAGATAACAACTAATAAATAAATAATAATAATTGAAAAAAGTAAGGACTGTATTATAATTTTTCTTTACGTTATAAATCAAAATATCAGATCACATGATATTACCAATTTAATGAAATTTTTGTCGTAATAAGAAGTCTTGATAAATTTACAAACATAATTTCCTTTGAAGTATGTTTTATTCATTTTGCCCACCATGGCAGAGGACAGCATGGTAGAAGACTCCAGTCAAAGCTCCTTAATAAGCATACTTACCTGGCACAGGAGTTAACCGTGATCATTAAGGCGGTTCTTCATTAGCGAGGCCTCACCATTGCACAATACGGTTTGGCTGACCTGATCGAGTACTCCAAATAGGGGTAACTCGGGTGCGTAATTTTTTATTGTGGGGGACTGCGTTCGCGCTATCCCCTTTTTTTTAATTCAATGTCAATTGCACTCAGCAACCCTTGAGTACTTCTTCCTCGTAGTACTCGGAATTCTAGATTTTGGTATTGCCCTTTCGCACGGTGTCAATATAGTAAAGTTAACACATGGAAAGGTATAGTGACCAAGTTAGCTTTATAGTGCCCCGACTCTCAGAGTACCTCTGAGGCATTACGAGAAAAAACCGTTGGTATGCTTTTAGAGTCATTGAGTGGAGATTCAGTGATGGATACAATGCGAGTGTCCTAACTGTTCGTAAAATATAACGGGTGTATTGTCGAGCCGCAAGCGAGTGTTCAGGGTCCCTTGTGGCACTTTTCCCATGTCTTAGAGAACGAGGGTGACCACGTAGAAAATCTGTTTGTCAGTAAGCAAGTGTCAGGCTTTATTAAACGGATTAGGTGCTTAGTAACATCGAAATGAGAAACGTTGGATGCACGTTTTATTAACATATTAATTAACAAATTGTACTTTTTTTTTGTTAAGGTTTAAAAAAAATACAAAAAGGATTTCCGATTTTGCATCATTACAATATGCATGCACATTTTTTATTACCATGTCTAACGTATGCTTGTTAAAAGCATTCCCACAATGTTATCAAAACATGACTCAGTGTCAGTTATACATGCATTTAAACCCCCTTTACACTGGACGGCGTCCTTTCTGCGTCCTTTGTGCGATCGTGAAACTGCATGGCATCGCTGTAGTCGTAAAAATGAGGCACAAGCATCGATTTGGCTGCAGAATGAATGATCAATGATCGGCCAGAGATAATAACGATAATAAACACACCAGGCACGCTTCAGATAGACTTTTATTTAAGGAGTTTTGTCGTCTTTAAGGTTTAGATGGGGAATTATGACATATACATTGTAGGGTAAATATATAAATGTGCTGTATTTTCAGATTCTCGCAGTATACCTTTGAAGCTAAGTAAACAAAGCATATAGGCATGAAATAGTTATCAAATACATCTCTGCTTTCTTTGATACTTTTTTATACAAAAATATATGGCTTGATCATGGTCATTCGTTAAAATATTGATATCGAAGTACGTAGAAAGGAATGAAACACCGTCTCTGCTGCGAGAGCTTGCATGGGTTTGTATGTCATTCTTTTCGTGTTTCTGCCCGGCGTCTACGGTGCACTAGAAAACTGGTCTACCTGTCGAGAACTATACATGTCCAACTTATGACGACACTCTCTCCGGTTGATGACGTAAGAGGTATGGCACACGTAACAAAGTGGGCCTGTTTTGTTCCATATAAACATATTCCTGGCTAACTGCTCTACCTTTTGAGAAACATACTTGTGGCGACATCTATGTAAGCATCGCGCCAGGGCCCATGCTGTGGCGTCCTTGCCGTGGTACAGCTTCCACTGCAGCAGGCTTTGGAATGCTTGTTCCTTTTTACTCCGGGGAAATTCTTGGAGGATATCTTTAATTTTCTTCTCCATAAGCTTAGGCTTTACAAATTTAAGCTCTCGGGCCAAGAAGATCCAGTCCTCCGCCATGTCTCCGGAAACTTCATTGAAGAGACGCAGCAGAGCCGCCTCGTAGTGGTCGACCCGCACCATGTTTAGGCCTTCTGTTAGGAGGGCCACAGCGTTCTCCTGTTCGCACACCTGGGCTAGATACTCCGGCGTTTTCAAGGAAGCATCTTGAGCGGTTGTGTCAGCACCATACTCCAGGAGTAGTTTGATGACGTCCGTCTGACCAAATGTTGAAGCGCAGTGTAGTGGCGTCCAGCCGTCTTTCGAACGTATCTCGGCGTCGGCTGCGGCCAAAAGAAGATCGGACACGATGTCCCTGGCTCCGATCTGCGCCGCCGCGTGTAGAGGTGCCCAACCCATGGCGTCCTCTTGGCTGTTAACTGCTGCCTTGGCTTTCAACAGGGCACGCACCACAGCTCTGTGCCCCTTGTAGCACGCTTTGAGCAGACAACTCCAGCCGGCTCTGTCGGTGTTGTTTGCGTCTGCTCCAGCGTTCAGCAGCCGCTTTATCACTCTGTCGTGTCCATTCTGGGACGCCAACCACAGGGCAGAGAACCCCTCAGGACTCATAAGATGGACGTCCGCGCCCGCTGATAATAGTGCACACACGACGCCATGGTGACCGCCTGATGAAGCCGCGAATAGGCTGCTGACGCCATCACTGGTGACCATGTCGACGCTGGCACCTGCACGGATTAACTCCTCCACGATCTCTGTGTGACCGCCCTGTGACGCCAGGAACAGCGCACTGCCGCCATATTTGTCCTGTCTGTCCACAGATGCTCCGTGCTGCAGCAGAAGTCTCACCGTGTCCCTGCGGTCGTTGTCTGCAGCCAGTATGAGTGCAGTGGCGTTGTCAGGACCTGCAATATCAACGTCTGCCCCGCCTTGGACCAGCATAGCCGCCATGTCTGTCTCCCCCATACTGGCAGCTACCAGGAGAGGGGGACATGTCTCTTTGCTGTCCTGGCAGTTAACGTCTACGCGGTACGTTAGGAATAATTCTATGAATTCCTTGAGACCTGCTCTGACGGCCTCCAGCAGCGCCACTTGGCCGTGTCTTGTGGGTTTGCAGACGACAGTGGAGGCATCCCAATCCTCAGCGTTTTCCTCAGCCTGCGCCGCCAGGAGAAACTCAGCCTGCGCCAAGTCATTTTCTGCAATGGCGGCAACCAAGCCCTCTCGGGTCTTCTCACATGTGTCCATGGCAAGGAAGAGTCCGTAGTTTTTTTAATAATGTGCCAAAAGTTGGTTTGGTTGTTGAAATTAAGGGCCCTTTAATGGTAAGCCATCATAAAAAATTAAAACACGAACATGGTTTCGTGCTGGACTTCGTCGTTTGGGATACCTTCCTAAAAAGCACGTGTCTATTTCGTTAACAAGGTAATGTCATTGAATTGAGTATAATTTCAGAAGTCTCCGTCTGTCCTACGGGTACCTGGGTGTTAAATACTGCTAATAGGATACAGCAGGGAGCCGTCTGCTGGCCGGTGTCTTCAGTGGAGGACTGTGATAACTAAAACCAACAGCCGTGCGTCCACACAGAAGGTACCTGATTGTGTTCAGTATTGATTCCCCATATATCGGCAACTGGCTGAGGGTCGGAGAGAATTTTATGATTTCATGTAATTGTATTGACGGTGTATTGATTCCCTATATCTTTGCAGCATTAGGTGGATGTGGGCCATGAAAAAGTGGCGTGTTTCTGAACTAACTGCAGGGGTATGATTGCCATCGACTGGTCCCACAGATTGGTCCCGGGGTTATAATATTATACGTTCCTGTACACTACAGATTTTCAAACTTTGCACTCTGTATTTAATGCCAAACGAGGCCGCCTTGTAAGTGTAAAGTAAAATGATTTTACTGTTTGGCTGTTATGGGGCGAGAGCAGCGAAAATAAATAATAAAAAATAACAAAAGTTAGGCCTATATCGTGCTGAATTTCGAACTCCATCTGCCTTTTCATCAATCAAAGCTTAGCGAATTTATTTTAAAGAGAATTTAAAGGGATAACAACTGTTCATTTTGGCCAAAAAATGAATTTTCCCATACTTACCAATGGTTAATGAATCCATTTCTTTTTTTTTTTTTTTTTTTTTTTGTAATAAGAGATTCTCTTAAGAGATTATTTCAGAGTATAGCCATCTATGGAGGTCACATGGTCTGATGACAAGCATAGATTTCAGATTAATTGCTATAACTGCCGTTTTTTTTTTGTGGTAAAATAGAATATATTATATTTCTATGAGTTGTTTATAGTGTATTTATTGTGAAATCTAGATCCCATACGAAGAGTTGTTATCCCTTTAAGTTCGTCAGATCAGGGAATTATATCGGTTCCGATATACATGTAATTCTGATAAAATTCCCTGGTCAGATATCGGTGGAAAATATATATATGAGCTTTTTCTTTGATATATCATAGTGAGTTCCAGCCAAATATGCGTTTAATTATTATTAGTATTATTATTTTTTTTTTTTACCAAAGCCTCCAAGAACATTAACATGAAAAAAAAATCGTCGCAAAATTATCATCATCATCATGTGTCAGGCCTGGTGCAGGTATCGACGATCAGGGTCCTCCAGTTAACTCTATTTTCAGTCGATTGGATGAGCTCGTTATTGTACAGTTGTTCATTTGTTGCCAAGTCATTAAGCTATCAATGTATGATTTTCCCACAGAGTACCAGCTAGTTTTTATTCCGGCTTTCATATGAGAAATAAAAATACAATAACTGTACGCATACGTCATAAATACTAGGTACTGTCGGGTTGAGCTGATTTTGTAACTTGGTCGGCGTTTTAACCAAACAAAATCCCCGAGCGCTGACATTGACGCTAGCGCTGACATAGACGACGTTAGACAAACACAATGATTAGAGTTTTTTTTTTTTTTAGAGTGACAGTAACAATGAAAATTATATGAACATAATTCAGATTGGGTAAATGAATTAAATGAAAAGTCACAGCTAATAATTTATCGTAAAATATAAAAATATTTTGTCGGCATTCACACAGAAATACTACCTAATGTGGCTTGTCTTGGCGTAAACCCGGAAACGAAAAAATCGCGGGAAGTGAAAGGTCAGAGGTAAAATATCTCTCTATCAAGATTAAAATGGCGGCCGACCAGCAGCAGTTTGAGGCTTTGCTGCAGAGCCTACTTAGTACAGAAAATAAAACACGATCGCAAGCAGAGGTGAGTTTTATCATGTATGTTACTTGAACTATCAGTCGTGTGAGTTAAAAGCACTTGTAGGTCTCTGAAGGCGACAAATGAAGTCTCGTGTGGAAGGCAGTCTCCCACGCTCACACGTGTGTGTGTGTGGGCTGTTCTATGTAGATATGGTGCGTTGAAGTGAAGCGTAGTGTCGTAGTTGGATTGTGTGAAGGATGTCCTTCTAACCATGTTCTGTACGTGGTATAAGTTATACAATCCCGTAAATAAATATCATAATGGTCAGAGTTTTCTCAAATATTTCCGATATCTTTCACCCTGTATTGTGGTTTACCCGCTGTGAAGATCCACAGCTAGAGAGCAGGGCGAGCTTAAAGAAATATGTGAGTCAGCTGACTCAGCTCCTCAGCTCACGGGTTGTGGGATGCCTGTTGGAGAGCTGTGTAGTTTTAATACCAGCCACACACTGCCATATTTGTGTCTAATTATTATACCCAAGTATACCTGCTCCAAATACAGCTTGGTCTTGACTGGCGAAAATTTTAAAGTTTTTTTCTGCTTTTTGGAAGGGGAGATGTAGTTGTCTGCTCTAATATATTATCCATTAAACATGTTTTAATGGCATTATTTATCTGGAACAGGATATTGATTTTCTAGTATTGTGGTGTTTTTGGGTTTGATTTCTAGCTCCTTCTGTTCCTTGCTTATACGTTGTATGTTTTTAGATTAGATTAGATTAGACCCATTTCTATCCCTGTAAAAAAAAAAATATATATATATATATATACTTTGTACAAATTGTCATATCTTGTTGCTAACTGTGAGAGAAGACTTAAAAAGAGTTGGGTATTTTGTGTGTGGTGGAGGTGAGAGATATTTTCCAAACTCTGACCAGTATTAAAGATGTTTTATTGCTTCTCTTTTCTAGGAAGCCTACGAAGCAATCACCATACAGAGTAAACTGCCTCTCTTGTTGACAACAGTAAAGAATGGAAATACAGGTGTCGAGGTATGGAGTTTGTGTGTGTGTGTGTGTGTGTGTGTGTGTGTGTGTGTGTGTGTGTGTGTGTGTGTGTGTGTGTGAGAGAGAGAGAGAGAGAGAGAGATGTGGTGTTAGGAGGATAAGAAATATTGAGGAGGTATCTATGGTAGGAGTATCTAGCTTGAGGAAGTAGAGATAATAAGCTACCAGTGCTTGTCAAGTGAAGTAGAATTGTGGGAATATCAGAGGATATGTAGATTTTCCTGTGCCATGTTGTTACAAGCGCTGCATATATCAATCTGTTCCAGGTGCGCACTATGGCAGCGGTGCTGCTACGTCGTCTGTTCACAACATCATTTGAAGATTGGTGGCCTGCATTACCGGAGGACATTCGAGGCGTAATGAAAGAACAGCTCCTGTTGGCTATTCAAGGCGAGTCCATGCAGCCAGTCCGTAAGAAAATCTGTGATGCGGTGGCAGAGTTTTCTAGATGTCTAATAGGTAGGTCTGACCAGGGCTTCTATCACAGCTCTTTACATTGTGACATGATGGGACAGCAAGACATGTGCCAGACATATGCCAGATTATGATAGTTAAAGAAATAACTCTTTTTTTTTTTTAGGGATATTCCATGTCTCAGTTTATATGCGCTCTGAAAAAACTGATACCAAATTTTATTACTGGACACTTAAAACTTTTTCTCAGATGAAGAGGGTAACAACCAATGGCCGGAAGTCCTCAAGTTCATGTTTGACTGTGCCAGCTCTCCCGACCCTGGACTTAAAGAGGGTGCACTTCATATTTTCTGGTAAGTTTATGTTTGACTGTACCAACTTCTCTAACCCAGGTCTAAAAAGAGATTCTCTCATTAAGGACTTACAAAAAATCTTTTATTGATTTCAGCGCTGTGCCTGGCATATTTGGTAACCAGCAATCACACTACATAGATGTCATCAAGCAAATGTTACACCAGTGTATACATGATCAGGGCAGTCGGGAGGTAAGTGAATACATGGTAAGGGCAGTCAGGAGGTAAGTGTATACATGATCAGGTCAGTCGGGAGGTAAGTGTATACATGGTCAGGGCAGTCAGGAGGTAAGTGTATACATGATCAGGGCAGTCAGGAGGTAAGTGTATACATGATCAGGGCAGTCAGGAAGTAAGTGTATACATGGTCAGGGCAGTCAAGGGGAAAGTGTATACATGGTCAGGGCAATCTAGGGGTAAGTGTATACATGGTCAGGGCAGTCAGGAGGTAAGTGTATACATCGTCAGGGCAGTCAAGGGGTAAGTGTATACATGGTCAGGGCAGTCAGGAGGTAAGTGTATACATGATCAGGGCAGACAAGGGGTAAGTGTATACATGATCAAGGCAGTTAGGATGCAAGTATATATACAGCCATCTGACATGTATATTGTCTCTGTGTTCTTGACTTATCCATTTCTATAAATATTTTAAAAAATGATTTAACATCCAGTGTGGCAACTGTTTCAGGTAAGGTATGAAGCTATCCGTGCAGCAACCTCATTTTTGATGTCCAATGAGAAGGAAGATCACTTGTTATCTCATTTCCGTGATCTGTTGCCTGGAATTGTGGAGGTATGTCGTATGTCTTATTTAACACAACCTCAACCAACACAATCACTGCTCTCAGTCTCAACTAACACAATCTCTGCTTTTATCCTCGGCCAACACAATCTCACATTAAACACGCTGTCACAGCTAACACACAATCAGGCCTTTTACACTGTCATAGCTGACACACTGTCACACCTAACACACTGTCACATATAACAATATCACAGCTAACACAATATCTGCTTTCATTCTCAACCAACACAATCTCTGCACTGTTGTCACATTTAACACACTGTCACACCTAACACACTCGCAGCAAACACAATATCATTGAAAACTCTCACATTGTGTGTTCCAGGGAGTGACCCAGAGCATACAACAAGGCACAGACGACAGCATTCTGAAGTGTTTAATAGACCTGGCAGAGAACACACCAAAATACCTGCGCAGTCAGCTGGAGACATTGTTTGGATTTTGTCTCAAGGTGAGTGGGTTATGGCACTGGTTTTACAGTGCTTTATGTCACATGTAAAATAATTGTTTTATTGCTTCATGTTTGTTATTTTATGTCTGACAGAATAGAGCACAAGTATACTATGAAAAAGGTCTCTAAATAGGATGATGAAATAGAATCATTCTGTATTAGATTATGCTTTGATCCATCTCCTATGGATCTTGGTCATGTGAACCTGAGGGCTTACAATAGCTTCATGTTTTCTTAGCATTGAGTTCCAACGGGAAATCACTGTTTGTGTTATGGAAGTTCATAGTTGGTGGACCAAACCTTCCATGTTTGTGAGGTTGCCTTTGACCTTAGGTTGTTCTGTGTCTATCAGGTGATATCTGATGCTAACATGGAGGACAACTGGAGACAGCTGGCACTAGAGGTCATTGTCACTCTGTCAGAGACGGCCCCCGCCATGGTCCGGAAATTTGAGAAGTTTATTCCTTTGTTAGGTGAGTTATACAGCAGAAAGTTTTGTAAATGAAAGAATTGTACAGATAGTTGTGCTTTATTTTTATGGTTAAAAGTTGCTTGAATTTTTTAATTCAAGCAACTTTTTTGACATGAAACACCGATTTCTCACTTTTTAAAGCTCAGATGGTTAAAAGACTCCTGCTACTGAAATTAGCAATAAAAAGTCTTGTTTAATCAAGTAGCAGATATTAAGAGTAAGCTGTGGTTCTTCCAGTGCCTCAGGTGCTGGCTATGATGGTGGACCTGGAGGAAGAAGAAGATTGGGCCACGTCAGATGAGGTGGAAGAGGATGATAATGATAGGTAATAGATAATATGCCAACACACCATCACAGCCAACATACTGTATTGTCACAGCCAACACACTGTACTGTTACAGCTAACACAATTTACTGTCACAGCCAACACACTGTACTGTCACAACTAACACACTGTACTGTCACAACTAACACACTGTATTGTCACAGCCAACACACTGTACTGTTACAGCTAACACAATTTACTGTCACAGCCAACACACTGTACTGTCACAACTAACACACTGTACTGTCACAACTAACACACTGTATTGTCACAGCCAACACACTGTACTGTTACAGCTAACACAATTTACTGTCACAGCCAACACACTGTACTGTCACAACTAACACACTGTACTGTCACAACTAACACACTGTATTGTCACAGCCAACACACTGTACTGTTACAGCTAACACAATTTACTGTCACAGCCAACACACTGTACTGTCACAACTAACACACTGTACTGTCACAACTAACACACTGTATTGTCACAGCCAACACACTGTACTGTTACAGCTAACACAATTTACTGTCACAGCCAACACACTGTACTGTCACAACTAACACACTGTACTGTCACAACTAACACACTGTATTGTCACAGCCAACACACTGTACTGTTACAGCTAACACAATTTACTGTCACAGCCAACACACTGTACTGTCACAACTAACACACTGTACTGTCACAACTAACACACTGTATTGTCACAGCCAACACACTGTACTGTTACAGCTAACACAATTTACTGTCACAGCCAACACACTGTACTGTCACAACTAACACACTGTACTGTCACAACTAACACACTGTATTGTCACAGCCAACACACTGTACTGTTACAGCTAACACAATTTACTGTCACAGCCAACACACTGTACTGTCACAACTAACACACTGTACTGTCACAACTAACACACTGTATTGTCACAGCCAACACACTGTACTGTTACAGCTAACACACCTTTCTGTCACAACTGACACAGTGCACTGTCACAACTAACACACTGTACTATCACAGCTAACATTATTATACCTAGCAGATTGGTAAATATGACTCACAGCCACACCAAATATAAATTTCTCATACCTTTGATTATTGTAATCTTATAATGTAGCTCATGAAGTAATAATGACTTGTTCTACTCCAGTAATGCCATAGCTGGGGAGAGTGCCCTGGACAGGCTGGCATGTGGCCTGGGAGGAAAGACCATGCTGCCACACATCATAGCCAATGTACCACAGATGTTGAGCAGTCGTAAGTTACAGCATTAACACACACATTCTGTTGTTAATATTAACATTGTAGAGGTTGATGAAATGTTTTTTTTTTCAAATTAGTCAGCTGCCGTATTTTGTGAAAGTGTGCATTCCCATCGAAACATCTTGATTGGTCCAACTCCAGAGGACTCACTATGTGCAATCATGTTAACAGATTAACATGCCTTCTCTTGTTTATAATCACCAGGGAATTCTACTCGACGCCAGGAGGAGGCATGTTAATATGTTTATCTGATTGCATACAGCATGAGTCCCCGCAGAGTTGGATCAATATATGTAACTGTTAGTTTCATTAAGAAAGAGTCCTGAGGTTTCACTACCTGAGTACCGTGATATTTTAGTATAACACTGTGTTCTATATCTTCCAGCTGACTGGCGTTACCGTCACGCAGCACTGATGGCTATTTCGGCCTGTGGGGAAGGTTGTCATAAACAGATGGAACAGATGCTGTCGAATATCCTAGAGGCTGTTCTGCCATACACACATGACCAGGTACAAGAAAATGTTAATGCTTTACTTGGGAAATGCCAGTATGACTGGAAACATTAAGATATTTTGCAACTTAATAACGTAGATTTGTTTATAGGTCTCTTCCCTTAAATCACCCTGATTTTATGATCAGGTACGAGATTGGGTGCCAACATTCTAACTAGGCAATACTGGCATGATTGGAAACATTAAGATATTTTACACCTTGATGACATAGATGTGTTAATAGGACTCTTCTGTTACGTCACTGTGATTTATTGCAATGGCTCAGCCATGGCTCCATTTTACAAATGAAAAAAAAAAAGAACTTTGAGAGCACAAAGCTCTGCAAAACAGCTCAATTTCTCCATATTTACAATATTCCACTATAGTGATTTCTTTTATTCTTTACAGTTTTCATCAGTTCTTGTGTAATAACAGTCTGTGTGATAGCGCTTGCTGCAAATTATAAGCAAGCACTTTTTACCTGATTTGTAGAGTTAATATCATGTTGGTATTCTGTTCCAGCACCCCCGGGTCAGGTACGCGGCCTGCAATGCCCTGGGTCAGCTGTCCACTGATTTTGGCCCCATGTTCCAGAAGAAATTCCACGCTAAGGTGAGTGTCAGATTTTCACCACCAGGTGGCAGCATTCAAGAAAAGCTGTAGTGAGACCTTCACCATGTTAGTAAGAGGACTGTATGGGAAAGACGCTAATAGATAAATGAATAAACAAAAAAAGTTGGTGAAAAGCCTGCAACATGCTGCTTTAAAGTGTCTTGCATTTCTGAAATATGTGGTCCACATCTTACTTCAGGTGATACCTGGTATATTGATGGTGTTGGACGACACAGCACACCCCCGTGTACAGGCACACGCTGGCGCCGCCCTGGTGAATTTTAGTGAAGACTGCCCCAAGGGTATTTTAGTGCCATACCTAGACACCATTATGGGAAAGTTAGAGCAGGTTCTGAATGCCAAGTTTAAGGAAGTAAGTCCACATATATCTGAGAGCAGCTAGGTATATGTTGTGTATGTGTTTTAAACCTAGACATTTTGTGAATTAATGCTAATATTTGCTTACTTCAAAGTAAGTCAACTAGATTAAGATATTTGTCATGTCTAGATTTAGCATGGAAAATATTACAAAGCAGAGATTGGTGTGAAGATTTTAATTAAGCATTAGCTATGACACATTAGTATAGTTTTTACATTTGGTCATACTGATTGGCCAGCAGTCAGTAATGTGACCTCTTAAATGCCATAAAAATCATCATTGTAAAGCTGGTTGACTGAGACCAGTGAGCTGTGTTATGACATATTGGTTGCTATTTTCAGCTGGTGGAGAAGGGTCAGAAGTTGGTATATGTTGGTATTATAGCTAATTTACCTGTGTTAAGATGGGTTGATTTCAATTTTCAGCTGGTAGAGAAGGGTCAGAAGCTGGTGCTGGAACAGGTTGTCACAACACTGGCCTCAGTGGCTGACACAGCGGAGGAAAAGTTCATCAACTACTATGACAGGTGAGAGTCTGTTGGGTCAGGGAGAATGCTTGGACAGTTAACTGAAGCCTACATGAATGTAACTTTTTTATGCAAAACAATAAAATCCTCAGCAAAATAGAATATATCCTTAAATTAGGTATTAAGGACATTTTTGTATCTTAATTTTATAGATTTTTTAAAGGGGTAATGGTAATCAGCCTTGTCACTTATTGGCAAAATGGTATTGCTCACTGATTATAGCTGTGACAGTTTTCTAAGTAGCAGATGTTATTACAAGAGAACAAGTAGACTAAATTGATGTTTGTGCCTGCAGGTTTATGCCATGTTTGAAGTATATAGTACAGAATGCCACCAGTGAGGAACTGAGGATGCTGAGAGGAAAGACCATAGAATGTATCAGCCTCATTGGTTTAGCTGTGGGGAAGGAAAAGGTATGATTTACATTGTATTACTATTAAGAAGGTGTGTGCATGGGGGAGTCTTTGTAAGAAAAATATATAGCAAAATCAAATCACCATCTTGATGGCATAAATGAAGTGGTCACCTGTTTTCATGTTTTATCAGTGCAAACTATTTAAAGATTGATTACTTTGGCTGAATAAATTATCAGTTTTTTAACTACACAATTTTTTTTGGAAAAGTGTTTATGCGTTTTCATAATTGTGACATGTGTTGATAGTGATTGTCTAATAAGTATTACTTCATCAATAGTTCCATTTTCAGTTTTAGTCACATTGGGTTGAAGTAAGGCAGTTACAATCTTACACTGTATATACACTTCGTATCTGATGTGTTTATGTTCTATTACTGCCAAAAGAGAGAATATTTTCTCTAAGAAACAGTCCTTGGCTTACATGTTGATAAAATTGAGCACTAGATCAGCTTACATTTTCTGTATGTTGTAGTTCTACCCAGACTGTGGAGATGTGATGCAGCTGTTATTGAAGACACAGACAGACTCAGGAGACCTAGCAGATGATGACCCTCAGGTCAGTGAGGTGAAAGGTCAAGGTTAAAGCATCTGTTCTGGTTTATGTATTTAATGAGTGAAAGATTGTTGGAAAACCAGGATGTTTTTAAAAATGATAATGTATAATGCATTGTAAATTCTATAACACAGTTCTATAGCAATGTTTGTCCCTTCTTGCTTGACTCCTGCAGAGACTTCAGATCACATTAATGATCACATCTCAGACATTCATCACAATGTCAACTGACACATTTTCTCCAACACAATCACAACTGACACATTTATCAGTACAATCTCACCTAACACATCTGTGTTGTCCTCCAGATCTCCTACATGATCTCAGCTTGGGCCAGGATGTGTAAGATCCTAGGGAAGGAGTTTGAACAGTACTTGCCTATGGTGATGGGGCCAGTGCTGAAAGCAGCCAGCATCAAGCCTGAAGTGGCTCTAGTAGATAGTAAGTAACCCCATGTCACCCTATGTAACCCAGGGTGCAATGCTGGAATTTAGTCAAAATAATGAAAGTTTTGTCTAATGAATGTGGCTATAAGTTGTACACAGTGTCTGTAGAGGAGATAACTTATGCTCCACTCCATAACTTCAGGTCAAGACATGCAGTCAATGGAGGGGGACAATGACTGGCAGTTTGTGACTCTAGGAGATCAGGTCAGTACACAACACAGGCCTTCAGTACACAACACAGGCCCAACCTTGAGTACACAACACAGGCCCAACCTTGAGTACACAACACAGGCCCAACCTTGAGTACACAACACAGGCCCAGCCTTCAGTACGCATCACAGGCCCAGCCTGCAGTATGCATCACAGGCCTTAAGTACGCATCACAGGTCTTCAGTACACAACACAGGCCTTCAGAACACAATAAAGGCCCTCAGTACACAACACAGGCCTTCAGAACACAATAAAAGCCCTCAGTACACAACACAGGCCTTCAGAACACAATAAAGGCCCTCAGTACACAACACAGGCCTTCAGAACACAATAAAGGCCCTCAGTACACAACACAGGCCCAGCCTTCAGTACACATCACAGGCCCAGCCTTCAGTATGCATCACAGGCCTTCAGTACACAGCACAGGCCTTGAGTACACAACACAGGCCCAGCCTTGAGTACACAACACAGGCCCAGCCTTCAGTATGCATCACAGGCCTTAAAGAAGGACGGAAGTACATACGTTTTTTTATGTAGTCCGATAGTGTATTTTCTTAAATACGACTCGCCGAAAGCGCGACTTCAATACGTACACTAGTGACCTATTTACAGCGCATTGAATGCACGGGTTCTCACCTGTGAAAACCGCTCGTTTGGAGGAAGGCTGGAAATAGCCGAAATCGAGGCCACTGCGAGGTGACGTCAGGGGTATGGCCTACACTGTCTGCGACTGAGTTGGTAGGGAGATTCACGCGTCGGACTATGGTCTGGACGACGTAAATGATGAAAGAAATGAGGCGAGCACGGCAAGCGTCCGAAGCTTGACACAGTCGGTTCTCCCTTACAAATTTGAACCCTTTCAGTCAGACTCTGAAGACGAGGGAGACGGCGGTGGCACTGGTGTCACTTCCAATTTACAAGTTCTATATTTACTTCCTTAGTGGTAAGTAATATAACATTAGAAGTGCAAAATACTTCAGGAATAGGAGCAAAACGTAACATTTTGAATTAAATAAGTTATGTAAATTATGTCTTCATGTCTAACATACATATATGCCATGTGTAACCTAATTTACCAGCGTTTTTTATTTATTTATTTTTTGTAGAAAGGTGGTGTTTGTTATATCACCATGCACTCAGAATTTGATCAGGGCTGTCTAAATCCCTATACATTGGAAATCGCATACTTTCAGCACAGGAAATAGTAATTCAGGTAAATCATACAGTAAATCAGACATATGGTACATGTAAACATATTCAATCAGTTACTCAAGCAATACTACCATCAGCACAATTCTGAAATTCTCTTAATCTTCGTCTATATTTTATTGAAATGTATACATTGCTTTTAATTCACCCGGATGGAATATATAATATTTTTTAATTTATTGTCATGAAACTTACTGGGCAATTGTATTATATTCTTACAGGAAATATCTTCAAATATATTATTGCCAAGTGGTGTGGCGGTGCAGATTTCCTTGGGGGAAAAGAATGCAGGGTCCCCCTACCTGCTTGTGCATTGATTAAGATTAGAAACATGCTTACATCAAGTGGACATCACACAGAGTTAAAATTGCCCAACTTGGATTTACTTCTATTCCATTAACGTGCACGAGGACTGAAGTGACGTAGAGTTGATCTTGTATAAAGAAATGGTTAATCATCAAAGAATAAAAATATATACTGTATATGCACATTTATCACAAGTGTCAGATAGAAATCTTCATAGTAAAATCTTGTCCAGCTTTTCCATTATATTAAGTCAGTTTTATTTTTCCACACTACTATTATGGGATAAGCTTAAGATAAAAGAAGTTCAAATTGAATTTATATGATTATCTCACAGTTCACTTTATTATACACATTTCATTTGCAAGTTTATTGCACAATATTTAAGACTTCATGACATGTGAATTAAGGCTTGAAGTTTCACATGGTACAAATGCATATTAAATATTCATCTCATGTGAAATGTTTTCATGTTTTGCTTTCATATATTGAAGGGTGTCAAAATTAATTATGAATATAATCTCTCCATTTGGTGCCTCTGTGGACCCTATAACATTTTGGTTCTAAGTCAAATATACATAGAAATTTTCATGGCTTGCAAAAGAGCTGCCCTTCTCTTGTTAAATCGAGACAGTCTCACAAAATTGTGATCTCCTGTACTGTGCTGTCAAAGGGGGTGGGGCTATTCCCACCAGAGGTATATCACTTAATTTTCTTCAACGGTCAGCAGTCAGTGGACAAAACCTAAAACGATGTACTTTTTAAGTAATTAAAATGATTTAAAGTAATTCAAATCCATTATGAACTCAATTCAATGTAAATCCTGACCAAGTGCTGCTGAAGAGATTTGTCAGAGGCATACATGATGTGACCAGAATATTCTGCATGTGACATATTTCATTTCTGTTTGTCTGGACATCTGTGGCAATAAAATAATAATAATAATAATCAATGCAATTGTCATAAATTAAAGTACACAAAATGAACTAATATATAATGAAGCTTTCCCACCTTTACATTGAAGTTTAGGCTTAGACTGAACAGCAAATGATATTGGACCTTCATTCCCTTCAGCTGGGACCCTCTTGTTACTAGTATCTGAAAATATAAGAAAACATTCTACGTATATGTGGACAGACTTAATAACACAATTCAAATCTTTCCTATTAAAATACACTCACACACACAGAAGTAAACTATAGGTAGGGTAAAAAGATAATCTGAACAAGTGATTAAAAAAATCTCCACAGCTTCTGCCCTTTACTGGTATACTGAGTGTCATCAGTTAGTTTCAAATCATATAAACTTATCATAAATAAAAAAAGTAATGGAAGTAGGCCTACTTATGGAAGACTGCATTCTAATTACAATCTATGATACCTTGTGCCTCTGTATGATGAATATCTTGGTATGCAGGCGAGTGGTCGTAACTATCTCTGTCAGCAAAATTTTACATTTCTTCTTCTTTTTCAATGTTTTCAATTGTCGTTACTATATCAGGTAGCGCGAATCTCAAATTGTTTCTCACATATCCGCATCGTCTTCGACGGCAGATCAAAATCTTTACGGCACGCAAACAAAATTGATCCACTGTCTTCTCAATTTCTATTTTTTACCCGAAAGAAATGAAACAAAACTTCGTCAATAGAGAAACTAGTACTGTTGCTTCCATGCACCACACAATAGCGTCCTTTGCCTCTCTTCAACTTGTTTCAGTTAGAATGATGAGAAACACAACCCGCTTCAAACTTCCAAACTATTTAGCAGTATGACGGTGAAGCGAGTGTACCAAACATGTTACGTCATTTCCGTTTTAGCGAGTGTTAGGCAGTCGCGTTCAGGTGAGTTGTTTTGCATTATCGTCAATTACATCGCATCAGGGTATCGCTCGGAAACGGGAGTCCCGGGACTCGAATATTAAAAAATTACTCAGTCGGACTACATAAAAAAACGTATGTACTTCCGTCCTTCTTTAAGTACATATCACAGGTCTTCAGTACACAACACAGGCCTTCAGAACACAATAAAGGCCCTCAGTACACAACACATGCCCAGCATTCAGAACACAATAAAGGCCCTCAGTACACAACACAGGCCCAGCCTTCAGTACACATCACAGGCCCAGCATTCAGTACACAACACAGGCCCGGCTTTTAGTACACAACACGGAGCTTCATAACACAACACAGGCCCAGCCTTCAGTACACAACACAATACGACTGACAGCATCCTTTATATGATTTCAGCAAAGTTTTGGTATCAAGACAGCAGGTCTGGAGGAGAAGGCAACGGCATGCCAGATGTTGGTGTGCTACGCCAGAGAGTTGAAAGAAGGATTCTCTGAATACACAGAACAAGTGGTGAAAATTATGGTGCCCCTGCTCAAATTTTATTTCCATGATGATATCCTTTTACACCAGTTTCCTCAGTAACTCAAACCGTCTCTTATCTCATGTGCTTCCTTCTTCTGCCACTGCATTCTTAATGATCCAATAATATTTTTGAGATTAAGTAACGTCTGTTTCAGTTATTATTGGTGGTATGTGGTGTAATTAAAATTCCATCTCTTTCTTAGTTTAATACAATTGGATGAATGAAAAAGTTCATGCACTGTCACTGGGTACAAACAATTCCAAGTACTTACACTTTGACATTTGGTACAAACAATTCCAAATAGCTCATGTATGTGTATTATCCTTGACTGTACAGTACATTGTCGGATAGCTGCAGCGGAGAGTTTGCCGTTCCTGTTAGACTGCGCCAGGATCCGAGGAGACCAGTACTTGGCGGAGATGTGGCAGTATATCTGCCCGGAGCTGCTGAAAGCAGTGGAGATGGAACCAGAGAAAGATATTCTGGCAGAGGTGATGCATTCTCTAGCTCAGGTATGGAATGCTGCTGAGGTTGAAGTTAGTGGAAGTTTCCATTCATGGCTTTTTAGCTCTCCTGAACTTCTGAGGTGTTAGATAATGATTGGTAAAGAATATATTTGGATACTTTTTTAAAACATACTTCAATAATAAACTGCTATAAGAGCAAAGATGTTATATTTAGTTGCTTCAATTGAATAACCTTGGCAGTTAAATAAGTTGAATAACGTAATGTCTTCCTAATGTTTCACTGTCTGTATATTGTTGTTTCTTTATAATAATCGCCTAGCTGTAATATTTAGTGTATAGAAAAGCTTGGAAATGGTTGCCTCAATGACCACCAGATGTCAGAACTAGTCAGGATCCTGGACAAAACCATGAAGGACCACTTTGAAAGGCAGGCAGAGAGGCAAGGTAGGCAGCTTGTCTTAGTATGCCAGACAGGTCTGAGGATGGTTTATTAAATAAATGTTACATAACTATGAGTTAAGTAATGTACAGAGATAGATGATCATGTTGTTAGGCAGGCAGAGAGACCAGGTATGCAACTTGTCTTTGTATGATAGACAGAATATTCAATGAAATTAATGTTACATAACTGTGTGAGATAGTTAAAAGATTTTATTCCATTTTGTAGCAGAATCTTAAATCCAGAAAAGCAGGAACGGTCATATCTCTTAATTTTCTTTTTTTTTTCCAGAGCAAAGAAAAGATGAAGATTATGATGATGTAGTGGAGGAATCATTATTAGACGAGGTATGTCTGGTATGTGAGGCAACTGGTGTGTATGAGGTATGTCATGAAAGTGAGGCAAGTTGTGTGTATGAGGTATGTCATGTATGTGAGGCAAGTNAACTTCTATGAGGTCTCTCTTCAACTCCCGCCGGTCAGACGAAATACAATTATCCATGTACACAATTTCACCCCAGTTTTGTCAACTGTATTTTAAAAATGAACGAGAAAAACATGATCGATGTGGTATCTCTTATTACTTGCAATTACATGTAATGAATACACCATGCAGATTACCAGTATATCGATTTCTTTCTTTTCTTTTCTAATTCCCCCTACCGGTTGACTTTCACATCATGTACCCGACTTAAATAATGAAAAATGTATATTTCATATATAACGACCAAGTGAAACCATTATATTTGACCGATCTATACAATGCATGTTTAAAACCACGTGTTGTGCCAATTACCAACGCAGTGTGCCTCCTGCCCATCACACGTCGCCCGGCACTTCCCGGTGGAGCACCTGCCACTGTCACAGGGTTCGGAATCCACAGGTTGCTTTGGGGACTCATCCTGGGAGATAAAACACAGTGAAAACAGAAAAAGAAGACGTGAATTCTTCTTTACGGAAAGCGTTTCCGGATATGCCGCTTGTGTTTAATGCCGGAAGTTATGACGTCAAATGTTGCTCGAAAGGAGTTAGGCTGACCGGTCATTTTAAGGGTATTGTAACTCTTTATTATCATCAGAAAATGATGTTTTTTCCTGCATCTAATTATTCAGTAATGCATCTGTCTTTGTGCTGATTTAAAACAATAAAAAAGCTCGAAAATAAAAATATCGGCTTTTATATTTCTCGTCGTCAAAGCTTTAGTCGTCAGTTTAACACCTTTCTACTTTGAGGTGAGATAACATCGGTATGGGGCGTAAGTTCATCCCTGAACAAGATTTTATCACGAAAATTGGCTGAGTTGACCACGATTGCACATGTATAGACCACAATTCCTTGCCGTCAGTCTAGTTTAAATGTTTTTGTTATTGATATGAGTTATGAGCCCCTAAATTACATATTTTCATTAAACAAAGGCATTGTCTTGCGTTATCAACGATATTTAATCTGAACTAAGACCTTTAAGAAAGGCAGGGTATTGGAGTACTAAATGCATGGTGTCATTAAATCGGCGATGAAACAGTGAGCGTGGGTGCTCAGGTATAAGAGAAATATGAGAAACATGATTTTTCAGTTTTTACCCCAAATTCGCAATTATGATGCACCCGTAAGATAACGTGTGGAAATGTTCATTAATTTAGTCACTGAGCACTGAAGATTTACAGGTATTACCCAAAAGAACGTATGTAAAACAGTAAATAAGACTAAAGTCGCTTTTTTTATCAACTTGATTTTCAAACGATTGGGTTGCTTCCACCCACCGACATAGTAAAAAATTAAAATAACTTTACGGATTATGTTCTTTGCGAGGCTAGGAATTGTTGTCATTTGCATTTTTCGAAAGTAAACAGCATAACATGCTCATATTTTATTTTTTCTAAGTACTGTAAGCACAGAAAGGAATATATATATATATATATATATATATATATATATATATATATATATATATATATATATATATATATATATATATAACATTGGTCAAAAAGGTCGTCATTTCCATGTACTTTTAATTACAAATGATCAGCTCACAGGTGTAAATTGTTATAACTAGTGCTTTTTATTCCAGATACCATGTCTAACATGATTAATGGTTCAAAAAATACAAAATAGTGGTGAAAATATACACATTTTATACCATTTAGTCAAATTTATAACAGGTACCCCCTCAAATCCAATGTTTCATTGCGATTTCTACAGATGTTAACAAATGTCTATTAAATCGAAAAGACGCCATCAAATGTCACCAAATTTACACACAATTAGCATTAGGATGTGCTCGTTAAAGGTCACGTGCCTAATAGCGTGTGCGTCTACCGCGTACTGCAATTATCTCATAATATAATATAATATATGTCTTTATGAAGCATTCAATTGTATAATTAAATGTTTCAGTTTTTGTCAAAGGCAAGACCTAAAAAAATTTAGGTCAGGTGAACTCATCTAACAGGAAGATAAGATTCAAGTTGATTTATGTTTCACGACCATAGATTGACAATGTAAGCCAATTTTAAGTCAGATGAACGCACATCTGCCAGGGACTGGTATGTGGATAAGAACTGCAAGATGAACATTATTAATTGTTCATCTTAATTGTTTGAGATTCTACCCGTAAATAAGACAAGGGACAACATACATGCGTATAAGTACTGTACAATGCCATCGGGCTGGAATGGTCCCCTATCGAATGTCGTTAAAAGTCGTTAAAATCGCTAATATTGTCAGTGTACACTAATTTAAGTAACATCCCGGAATGAATAAAGTGTGAGCGAAATTGTTTATGCTCTTAAATGTGCACGGAATAAAAAAAAAAAGTATATTTTTCACACACATAACAAACGGGCATGCGCCATTAAAATCATTTTGACTGAATGGTCGTCGGACTAGACTGTCAATTGTTATAACTGTGAAACGGTAGAAATGACATTTCCTCACTTGTAATCTATTCATCATACACAGTAACTTATTTCACAGAGCATGATAAAATCTTTTTTTTTTTTCGTTCGCACGTCTTCACCCACAAGCAGTTCCTCTGTTAATGACTAAAGATTCATTTACATTTTAAACTATCGGTCTCACACGCCTTCTCTTGTAATAGGGGGAAGGGGTACAAGATCACATGTTGTTAATATATATGTTTAATGATTAAAAAATGTTATAAAAAAGGGAAAAAAAAACATTGCAGCATGTGTTTACATGTTACTGTTCCTGTTCATTTTTTCTACCTTCGGTATACCCTGATTCTATCACCCGATAGTCCATTGCTATTATCATTATTTTAATTTTTTTATGAAATGACTATGGAATATAAGAAAGCAGCTCGGCCAAAATTTTGTGTTGTTGGCACTACAAAAAGTTTATTGATTCATGTATGCATAGTCGATGGTTTTCGAAACAAATAGGGTGCGCTTACTTTCAATCGATATTTGCAGTACAATAGGTATCTTTGTCTGGAGGTTAATAGATGTACATAACGGTTTTTCGAAAGATGTCGTAGAAGTAATTGAAAATAGAGTAGATAAAAAAAACCAAACGCAAATTGCACAAAGCTCCGTGACTCTCAAATATATGTTAATCAAATCCATTATTGACACATTTCAATGATTGTTGATAAAACTAAAAAAAAGTATTATTGTTGGCCTAATGGCGGTTTCAGGAATTGGCAAGGGGAGTGGGGGTGTAGGGATAAAACTATGCTCCTAAAGATGAAGACAATGTTATGTATGATATAAAAGGCACAATCATGGGAATTTTGCTTATTTTTCCCTGTTTCGCTCGTTGTCCTGTTTTACCTTTTTTATTCTGGAGGGAAACGGGGTTCCTCAGAAACTAAGAGAGGAATACGTGCTTAACAATATCAGCTATGATATTCTTGTAAAATTGACACCCAAAAAGATACAAAAAAATGTGCATATAGGTCTGTCACTTGCGACAAAATCATTTTAAAAGCTTATCCGTTTGATCAATATCGTGCAGATCAATGTGCCTTATGTTATGCGTTTATTGTTTGTATTTATAGACAACTCCCTAATGGAAGCTAAGTTTGTTCGAGTAAAAACGATTGCAGATCGGGGAGGGGGGCAGCGGGAATATGCTTCCGCCTTAGCCAAAGATGTTACTTCCTCCCTCTCTCTCCAAACAAACCACTAAAACGAGCGGCAGTAGACAAAGCAAGTGCTTTTTTCCATCTCTAAGTGCTATATTTTGTTGGAAAAATGTCATGATCTCTCATTCGCCTTGCCTTTTTATCCTTGTGCTCCCAGGCAAAATGCTAAATCCGCCAGTTCAAAGGGAAGGTTGCACTTTTTGTATTGTAAGAAGTTCGTCTAAACCATTTAAACTTTTGTTGTGTATTATGTGTTTTGGGTTTCTAGCAATTAACACGAAGAAAATCGATTCTTGCAGCAAAAAAAAAAGTATCACTTGCAATGCTACAAATCAATGCAAATCAAATGAGAATACACTCTATATTAATGTATATATTATGCATTTGTTGTGGAGTAGTACGACAAAAGAGGGATGGAATATCAATCGATGGAGAACTACTGGAGGAAGTCGAGGAATACAAGTATTTGGGAAGACTATTGGCACCAGGAAATGAAATGACCACCCGCCAGTAGTGGCCCGACACGCCAAGATCAATGAATGAATGGGTACTAGTACTTCTCACCTGGAGATTTATTTGTTTGAATGATAGTGCTTCTCTTCATAAGACTGTAAAATCGCTACTTATATCTGTTAGATTTCTAGTTCTGTGCCCCAAACCCTACTGATAGTACTTTACTGTAAAACAGTAAGACTCAGCAGCGTATAATTTTCTTTCAGAATAGTAATAAACATGTTACCGGACTTTTTCAAATTGTGGGCTATCACAGTAATGCGCCTTGATTCCTACTCAAACACAGTTGTATTCATTATGCTGCTACGATAAAAAAATTCATGTCTGAAATAATTTCCCTGCACATAGGCCTATACTGATACATACAAATGTCAATTTTTCATGTGGCGTAGAGATATTACATTTATTATTTATAATTGTTATATTTTTAAGGTACAAAAAAGTTCTATCTTATCAAAAAAGGACAATTTCATAAAATAATGTGACCATTTAGCTACATGTAACTCTTCAGACACAAGGAGAAAAGTCCTGATGCAGACAATGATTTATGATTACATAAAAACACCAAGGAGGGTCTAAATATATAGAACAGAAAAACTCCCTATCACCAGAGTCCCTTCCAGCAGGTACTTAATTAGACGAAGGACGCCCTTGTAACAAGCCCTCGAAGAGAGTAGGAAAAGCAGGCCTATGTGAAGTGCGTAGGTAAACAAAGAGCACAAGGCTTCTATACTTCACATGCTGCATATAATGAACAGATGTGCTTTCAAAGGCCCAGTCAATGGCACAATCTTGACCTTTTCAAGATTAATGTAACATATTCGAAGAAAAATAATAAACGAATAACAAAATGTAAAAAAAAAAACATGACACAATTCTCTAAATCATCAAGTTCTAAATCGAACATGCAAAAACAACGCCAGAAGACCTAGTTTACCTTTAGGTAAAAAGGGATACGGATGGTGAAATCAATGAAAATTTTATACATGTAACAGCTAGTATGGGCTCTGGTAGAGAATCGCATACGGCGGGCGGACGTACAAGCACGCCGGCCTCCCTTGTTGAATGCATGACTCTACGCTTATTAAAATTACACAAAAATATTTTTATTTTCATGCTTCATTTAAAGATAAGTGTAAGTTTGAAACGCAGCTTATAAAATAATTACGATGAAACAAAAATCATGGATTTCCACCCAAGATACGGAGGTGCACGTACGTCAAGGGGCAAATAAAAATTTTGATAAAGAATTCAAATTTATACTTACTCCCGTGTTCCTCATATTGACCAGGAACCAGTCAGTGGCGTTTGCGGCTGACATAACAGAACTTTCCCTAAACAACATATCGTGCAGCGTTTCCAACATCAAGTTGCAGTCCCCAGATTTTCTGTTAAATAACGCAGTGACGCAGGCACGATTCTGAAGACAAAACAAACCACAGTGGCCTGGGTTTTTGGCTTGCACGGTACCAACCCCGAAGGACGCATTGTAGGCTAGGTGCGATAATGAGAAAGGGTGAAGAAATTTTTAATTTCTTTGAAAAGTTTAATGTTCACCTGAGCGAATATTGTTTAACCAAAAGATGAACCATCATTTGAATTTGGAGAAGGCAAATCATTGCGAAAAAAGGAAGGAAAACATACCATGGAATATTGCATTGTTTCCCCCGCCCTTTGGAAGATCAACGTCTAACAATTACAAATACACCATAATTGATTAAGCGAATAATTTCCTACGCGATTTCCCCCCTTTTTTTACAACCCATACGTTGTAAAAGATTCAGATGTAAATGCTTTGGACATTTGGACCTTTTAAATACTCATACGGCATTAGTTCTATTCATTACTACAATCTTTTGGGATTTAAGATCTTGTACTTCAAATATATTTCAAGATTTTGGACTAGTTCTGCAGAAGCAAAATTTTGTTGAAAACGATCACAAATACACTAGTTAATACAGATATGTTATCTTATTCAATATATATATATATAATTTTATGTATTAAAAAAATAATCGCAGTGCTAAAGCTTACCCGCTTCGGTCACAGGAACGATGTTAACGTACGATGACCGAGGACCGTTCGCTAAACAAGCTTCCTTATAACCTAACACCGTGAGTACCAACACAGCTAAAAAGACTGTCAGAAGAAAAAGACGAGAGTTCCATCTTCGCGCCATGATGTATTCGGGCAAGAATGAAAAATCCGTTGCCTTAAAGTCAATCAATTATTTATCGACTTTGAAAATGCGGATAAATAAGTAGCGAAGGTTAAGCAAAAAAAATTCAAAGACTCCCGTTGAATGTATAAACAACGAGCTGGTATTAATGTTGGATAATCTATGAGTTATTATAAAAAGGCACGTAAAACAAATCATATGCGACAAAGGTTTCCAATTTTATCGGTTATATCATAACAAAAGTTCGGGTTGGGACAACGAACAAATTGGATCATCGATCGCAGTAACTGTACAGTCCTTGTTTAATGTTCGTTCGCGTATGACAAAGCTCATACGAAATAACATACAGACTTGACATATAATATGGAATATTTCGGTTTGGAAGGTATGCCTAGGTAAAAATGCGTTCTTTTTCTATAAACTACGATTCCATGTAACAAAACTGGACCAAATTAGACAAGTTTTGACGATGCCTGGAATGTTATTCCAGATTGAACTCAAAAAACCTAGGAAGGAATGCCTTGCCGATTGAGAGCCCTGGTAGCAACCAGGAGAGGTCAGGCTTATCACCGACTATTGCTGTGACTAGCCACTGACATGAGGGTCCTTTGTGGGGCGAATAACTCTTTAATGGTTGTTGTATGACATAGAATAGGCAATGTATTTTTGTTTGCTTCACTGGCGAACTCAGTTTATGAACTGATGTCACAATGACATCAAAGAGATAAATAAAAGTTATTAAAATACGATTATAATCTTTATTTTCGTCTATCAGTAAGCAAAATAGGAAAAAACTGATGAAAAATGTTTTGGAAAAAAAATTCATATTAAATGTCAAGTCTGTATTTAAAGGGATAATAACTCTTTGTATGAGTTCTATATTTCACAATAAAAACATAGTGAACAACTCATAGAAATATAATATATTCTGTTTTACCACAAAAAAACGGCAGTTAAAGCTATTATTCTGATATCTGAGCTTGTCTTTAAACCAAGTGACCTCCATAGATGGCTATACTCTGTAATAATTTCTTAAGAGATTGTAACAAAAAAAAAACAAAAAAAAAAAAAAAACAAACTCTTTAGGAAAAAAAAAACAGGGACTAACTAAGAATGTAAAAATGGATTCATTAACCATTGATAAGTATGGGAAAATTGTTGTTTACTCCAGGGAAATTAATTTTTTTGCCAAAAAGAAGAATTATTATCCCTTTAACCATACAGTTATAGATATTCTATCCATATAATGTGTTATGCTGAAAACGTTGCAAAAACATCGGAGTTTGAGAAAGGGGTTTTCATCGTTAGTTCAGCGTGACTTAATTGCGACCTGTCTCAGCACCCCCAACTTCAATAGTATTTGTGATCAGTAACTACTGTACGCCTAACTAACGTTGATGTCCAACGTATCGATCGAGTTTTCTAGAGTTCTAGACGTTGTTTCGATGTGAAGGGGAGGGGGGAGGAGGAGATGGATTGCTCTCTTCGTTATGTGTGTATGTAGAATAAATATATAGGCAAAATTGGAAATTTGCTTTGTCCTGGCACATTTAGTTTTGGCTCTACAATTTGTTCACAAACCGGGCCCATTTCATAAGCATAGGTGTTAAGGAAGGTTTTAAGAGAAAATGTTTGTCCTTTTTGCCGCGGAAATACATATAGTTATACTAAAGACAATGCAGTCGCACGAAAAAACATGTCGGGTTGCATGTGTGCACTCGAGTTTAAGACGAAACATCAGTTATTTCACGGTGAAAACTGCGATGTCTATCTTAGATAAACTTCCCTTAATGTAACATAACATTACCACTATAAGGGCGGCTTTTAATCTCAATAAGTACTGTAATGTGGTACCAAGCATGTTTAAGTTCATTTCATTTTACAAGCACAAGGACGAAATAATACGTATAGTTTAATGAAATATTGTTACGAGGAGATATCCAAAGAATTTCATTACTGAAGAACTTTACCAGATTGTACTTATACATCCTAGTCGCCAAACATGAATGATGTTTACCGCGTCACTTATAATTAAGATTTTGAAGTCTTGGCCAAACATTCAAGTACTGACCTAACCGGTACGATTGCATTACAAGTTATTTAAATTTTTTGGCAGATGAAGAAACCAATTTTAACGCCATAATAATATTTAACATTGGATACGTTTATTGCAATATTAACAATAAATAGGACAAATGCACAACGCGAAAATGATACACTATTTGCTTCAAATTTGTTTTATTAACAGACAGATGATGATACTGGTAGATTATTGGAATGCATGGTTGCATTGCTGTTGTTGCACTCTGCTTGTCTCAGCTTTCAACAGAACACAGTCTATACTACTGTAAACACGATACAAAACGTTAAAACACTACATAAACAACGAGTAGTACTTTTCTAAAACAACACAAATGCAAACATTATTACAAAACACTAGGTTTATGATTTTTTTAAGTTTTTTTTTCAAATTATGTTAGATTTTCTGTATAAAAATTTCACAATGTTCTATGAAATTTCACACTAGTCTTTGGGAAAAGTTTCCTTTCGAAGTCGTAGTCCGTATGAAAAAAGGTCAGAAATCCAAATAAGTTAAAAAGAAAAGTTCGATATCAGATCCGGGTCAGTCACATGTTTGTGCTTGTGGTTTATCTCGAAAGATAGGCTTGTAAGTCTCTGTTGAAGTTGTAACTATCAAGGAACATCTCGGACATCTAGAAAGAAGAAGAATATAATAAGAACAGAAAGAGCCATTATTTGAAGTGCGTTTTAAGAACAGCAGAAGTGAAATAACCAAGATTAATCTAATTTATTAAATTTTGGTCAATATTTCAAGTGTAAGTTATCTGGACATGTCTTACAATATTTCCAAATCAGTATCACGATTTCATATGAATGCTTTCTGGTGGGTTAAAAACGTCCTATACACAGAGACTATCTACATTGAGTACTAAATCCATTTTTGCATTACCTTGAAGGTGTCCCCGCTGGTAGCGCCACATTTTCTGCAGACGGTGATGCCCACTTCCTGGTCGCCCTTTCTACACTCGCACACCTGGCATTCAGATGGCTGAGATGTGGAGGCCACGCGCTGGGCTACGGAGTCGGCGAACAACTTCTTGTCGCTCCAGCGTCCCTGTTCCAACTTAAGAGAGTTGAAGACGGAGCCGTTGGTCTCGAGAGCCAAGGCCACACAGAGATCTTTGGGAATGGCGATCTGCTTGAAGAGAGCCCTGTCGCCCTGGATGTCGGAAGTCTTGCTGGTGAATGCAGTATTTCCGTCGACACCTGTAGGAAGAAAGAGCACATCATTTTTCAGTCCCGAGTTACAGAGGTGTGATTTCTTGAGACAAACCAGTATAAATTGCCGCGTGGAATGAGTGACCAAGTAGAGATAAAACGGTAGCTCAAAAACAGAATGAACGAAAACTACCTGTAGCATTGCCATTATACTTGGCACATTACTACGGAATACATGACTGTTCACACTCACCGAAAATGTAGTTGGTCTTTGGAGATCGCCTGTTAGATTTCAGTTGGAATTCGTGCTGCATCATAACATGGAATTTGATGCCGCTTGGAACCAACAGAGACTGGATATCAGAGTAGTCGACAGACATCTTCCTGCAGCTTGAGCATGGGACCAGGATGATTGTCTTAGAGCTTCCTGTGCGGAATGGATAACGTGCGGCAAAATCGACGGCTCTTAGGGCATCAGAGTTCCTTCCGTCATGCAAGAAGGTCATACTTGTGGAAGCGATGTCGTGGGCGTGCCCGAGGAGTTCACCCTGGATTGTGTGCTGGTGCTCGATGTCGTGCACGCCAGCGCCGCCATAACCAACTATACCGAACTTGACGCTCTTCAGCCCTGCCAAGTTAAACAGTAATGACATTCAGCACAAAGGTTAAATATTGAAAATAAAGTGATAGGATTATTGACTTACATGCCAATCGTGTCCTTATTAACATCGTATCTAGTCTAGTCTTTCCTTAAATCATGAGGTTTTGACACTTTTCTTTATCGGTAGCATTACTCCGCGTTTTAACGACTCAATATGAACGACACGATAGCATACCTTGTCCCTTCATGTCCTTTTCAATAGTTCTGGTAAGCAGCTTGAAGTTGAAATCCTTGTTGCATGTCTTCTCTTCAATGACAAAAATGACGTCGGCGGTCTTGGGGACATTGGCATCACCGTTATCGGACAGCGTGAAAGTCTCTCCCTCAGTCTTGGAAATTCTGTTGTACTTGCATTGCACTACAGAAAACAAATGCATTCAAGTTGAAGGACTGGGGAACGAAAACCTTTGTTGTACTGGTAAGTGGTTTTTATGTTAACATTCTTAACGATATGAAAACATGAAAATCCATGAATAAAGACTGCAATGGACGTCTTGAGACTGAATACTCGGTATGTAGGATGAAGACATTTTTCATTTGAGAGCCAAACGTTAAATTCTTTTTTTTCATTTGAGAGCCAAACGTTAAATTCTTACCGCATCTAGACTCCAGACGCAGGTTTACACCGTGGCGTGCGCAGTCTTGCACGTAGCCTACAGCCACACTGCACATGGCATCAGCCGTTCTCAACCTGCTCATGTGATTGACGCACATCTCGAAGTATGGCTGTGGGTCGACCTGCTTGAAGCAGTATCTGTAGGGAGAGTAGGTTTTCTCTTTGAAGAGGGCTGCACACTTGTTGTACTCGTCGGTTCCCTCAGTAGCTGGGACAGTTCTTGCAAGATTGTGCCTGCTGTTGCATCTTGGTTGTACTTTCCAGCTGTAGGCAAACTCACCAGCATTCTCGGTGATTTTCTTCTCGGAGGTGAGGAAGTCGTTGGACATTTCATTGTCGTAAGTGCCGAAAAGTCCGGCAGTCTTGCCGAAGTACCAGCCGGTCATGTTAAGGCTGCAGACGTCGTGGGCCCAGTTGCACATAATGGTTACACCGTTGGAGTTATCGATGCGAACCACATCTCCCTGGCGACGGACGGTGGTGGACTTGAATTCAAATGGCAGTTCTTCCTTCTTGGAATCGCCACCAATGGCTCCAACACGGACCTAAATTTCATGAAACAAAGATTAGATAAATTTCCGAGTCAACGTATGTATTACAAATGTATAAATATATGTTAAATTTTTTTATTCAAAAGCAATACAGAAGTAAATCCAATTTTTTTCTCTGAATATTACGTTTTTATTGTAAGTTCATTTGTTTCACACGATTCTGCAAAATAAACTTACAGTGAAATCGGGTGCAATTTCGATGGATTTGTCGTCGCTGAAGACAGTGATGGACTTCCTCTTAGCATCTCTTGAACCGTCATAGTTGACAATGGCGGTGAAGTTGCCGTCAATAAAGTCCCTGGCAAGGATGTAGCTGCATTTTCCGGCATATTCGAAATGCTTATGATCGAATGTCATGAAATGCTGGCTACCAATCAAGCTGGCATGGGCTATAAAAAATGATTTAAAAATGATTTCACGTATTTTTTCTTCAAACCTTCCCACTGAATTTCAAGGTAGGCATACATTTCTCAACGCAGCACGTCTTACATAATCGTTAACATAACAAGTAAACCGGCAAAAAATTACATTGATGTGCACATACCTTTGAAAGGTGGTACCCAATCACGAATATCGGAGGATGGTTTGTATGTGTAGTACAAGTCCCACATGTTCATGTCATCCTTGGGTGTGTATTTTTTCACCATGGCGTCAAGCCTCTCCCTGTAGACATCCAGGTTCAGCTCGGGCATGCTCATCAGATCCTTCAGTGGGATTGGGTTGAAAACTTCGAACTCCAAGATGAATTCTTTTGGATCATATCTGATGATGCGGGTTCTGTTGATCTGGAGGTAGTCATGGAGGAAGCTCTGCCAGCGTTTCTCTGCCATCATACGGCCAGAGTCGTAGATGCTCTGCAGGTGATGTTTTACATTTTCCTCCAGTTTGTAGTATTTGTAGTAGTCCATGCCCTGTGAAAACACCATATGATATCATTCAATGTAATCATGTTCCACTTAAAACTGAAATTACATCAAATTGTAACTGAAATTACAAATACTAATAGTTGTGATGACAAAGGTGTCTCTGTCGTAGAAAAACAGTTAAAATTTAGTTAACATTTTGGTATGGACTTACCTTCTCAACCATGTGATGTGCCATATCTTTGGCGTAAGCGACCTGTGGATGGGAGAGAACCTCATCGATCTTTGCGTTAATGTTGTCTCTGGCTTGGTAGATGGCCTCGGCATATTTGTTGGACAAAACATCGTAGTTCTTGGATGCTACCTGGTGGAGGCCAGACAGCATTTGACGGGCGTTCAAATGGAGTTCACGCAGAGGTTTCATCCAGTCACGTGAGTTGATAGCATCCCTGATGCTGGCCATGCTCTTCTGGTGGAAGTCAAAGACTTTGGAGTAGTAGGGGTGAGCGCGAACCTTCTGCATGTACTCATCCATCTTGTGGTTAATTGCGTGTTTGTGTTCGTCAATCTTAACCATAGCCTGGCGATAATATTCGTTGTACTTCTCCACGAATGGCTGCATCTTTTCTCTCATTTTCTGTGCCTGTTCCTGGTAGAACTGCATCATTTCAGTGCGGAGTTCCTCATACTTAGTCTTCAGCTCGTCCATCAGCTGATTGTACCTTTCCATGCCGTTGACCTTCAAAGTGGACATAAATTCTATGGCCTCACGCTTCACTCTGTCCATCTCGGCAACAATGGCTTCAATCTTGGCAGTCATCTTAACTTTCATCTCTTCATACATCCTTTCCATTTCGTCGATCTTTTCACTAAAAAAATGAGAAACCTTAGATTTTTAATTAAAAGTATCATGAATATTTTTCATAACACTGATTAAGTAATACTTAAGAACATTTCAGAGAAAAGTTAATTGTTTTAATTAACGCAGTACCTGATGTATCTAGCAGCGGCTGTGTAGGCTTCGCCCATATCCTTCATGAAGAACTCGTTGCGACGGTACATCATGCGTATCTCCTGCTTCATGGTGGCAAAGTCATTTTCAAAAGAACTCAGTTCTCCATTCAGGTAACTCAAAACAGGCTCCATCTCTCTCTTGAAGCTGGCTACCTCAGGAGTGTAGAGGGTATTGGGGCTCTGCATGTACTGTTTTCTTTTCTCAGCATAATAGTCCCTCACGCTTCCCAAGTAAGCCTAATATGTATATGAATGTAAGTTAAATAAAATTTCCAACAATCTATTTTAATACTTCTCACGCACCATTCTAATTCATCCTCAAAAATGTCTCTAAATTCTTGCAATAGGTGTATTTCTTAAAAAAATAAAGACTGTCAAATGCTTTAATGGAGAATATAAAACAGTATGCAAACGTATCCAATATCAAAATATATATACCTTGATGTCATCCTTCATGGCCAAACGGAGGTAGTACTTCTCATGGAGAAGGTGGTTTCCGATCAAGTTAATGAAGATCTCAGCATCATCAACTGGTCCCTCTCCCATGTCGTGCATGGCTTTGAACAGCACGGCAGAGCTGTTGGGGTACTTGGCGAAGATGTGAGAATAGATCTTGCCATCTTTCAAAAGAAAATAATTGAAATAAATAATGAAAAATGATTTAAAATGATAAATGCTTAAAAGAACAAAAAAACTACTTTCTGTAGATTAAAAAACTACTGTCTGTTGATTATTAAAATTTTACGGTCAGTACTCTTTGACATGTGAAATAAATACAATACATGCTCAAAAATTGTATTTCTGGATGATTTGGAAAGCAGATATGGTTAGTTTACTTACGGGATCCAGTGGATTTCAAGTCAAATGCAGGGGCCTCAGTGTTAACGTCCAACACAGTGTTGACAGTGTGTGGGTGACCATGTCTGGTCTTCTCATAGGTATTCTTCAGCTCGAATAAATAACCGTCTCTCTTGGTGTTCATTTTGCCCTCCATAAGCCACGGGGTCATCCAACTGTAAGAGCCTACCATCTGGCTGCGGATTTCCTTGCGGATCTTGTTGATCTCACCACGAAGAGCCATACTCTCGTCCTGGTAACGGTAGAGGAAGTTTCCAGTCATGCGACCATTCTCGTCACCAGCATTGGCAGCCATGCTTATGTCTACACCACTTTCGGGGTGAGAGAACTCCAGCTCTACTGTGTAATTGTTGGTGCCGATGTTTCCGACCTTTGATGAAAGGGTCAGTTTCTTGCTGGGCTCTGGAGCATATTCTACTTCAAGTTTCCCGCTGTACATGGGAGAGTCGTTGCTGCGGAATTCTGAGCTGATGGTAATATCCTGAAATTTTAAAATTAAGAAGTTAATATATTTGTTTTATAAGTAAAATATGAAAAATGTACACGAGTCCTATTTAATTTCTCATTGTACCAATTCATAAGTAACAACAAATATATTTGTTTTATAAGTAACATATGAAAAATGTACACGAGTCCTACTTAATTTCTCATTGTACCAATTCATAAGTAACAACATAATGTGTGAATAAACTTAAAAAGATTCAACCTACCCTGCGGAGCATAGGGTGTTTGATAGTAGTGATAATGGCAGCGCCGTCTGGGAGTTGGTTCATCTGTCCCTTCAGTGTCAATTTCTTGCTTTGGTCACGATCAGCATCCCACAAAAGTTCACCTTCAACCTTTTGGCTTCTGTAGCTCTTTGATTTGTCCAGCGTCATGGCCAGAGAACGGATTGGAGTGGTCAGCTTGCCGTCATATTTGTCACCCTCTTGGTTGAACTCCAAGGCAACTTTTCTGTCCCTAGCCTGGTCCCAGGTAAGCTCGGTTTTGTGGCTCAAGCCATTACGAGACTCTGTGGTGGTGGTCAACCCAACAGTGCGGGATGGCAGGACAGCCTTCAACACAACCTCCTTCTTGTATCTCCTATCCTGAACGTTCAGTTCCATCTGGATCTTGGAATTCTGATTTCTGGTGTTCCAGTTAATAGTGGCATCACCATCAACCTGCCTTGGAGCATAGAGGACATTAAAATTGTGAGTCATGGGGTGCGGTTGGCGAAGAGCAAGACGCCCGACATGGCGATTCTGATTCTTTCTGTACATCATCTCTCCATCTACCCATTTGCGCCCATTGTGCTGAATCTCTGTCTTCAGGCTCATGTCCGTCAGGTCAAACTTGCCATCAAAGTCAACTGAGGCCTGGCGGAGTGGTGCCCACAGAGTGGTAACAGTCATTCTTCCAATGTGGTGGTTTGTTCCAGAATAGGCGGAGTCAAGAGACAACCACCTGTCACCATTGTAGTCAGCATTGGCCTTCATGTTTATGTCCCATGGCTGGTATTTGCCAGTCAGATCCAGCACCAGTTCCCTCAGATTCTCGAATGGAGTGGTGAGCTTCAGATTGCCAGCGTTGTTGTCGTAGGTGGCATCAACAGTTATCTTTTTACCCTGAGTCCAGGACACAGAGCTAGCATGACTTACACTCTTTTGCCTTGCATTGAATCTGTTACGGAATGAAAGAGACATGTCGTCAAAGTTCGGGATTGGGCTCTTGAAGTTGATACTACCCTGTGCCTGTGCCAAATTGTGCAGTTTCATGTTAATGGCTCCCTCTATCTTCTTGTAGTCACCATACTCGAGAGAGGCACTGCTCTTGAAGCTTCTCAAGTTGCCCTGGTGCTTCACCTCATAAATCACAGATTCATACTTGGGAATGCTAGTGGTGACTGCGACCTTGCCTTCAAAATTCTGAGGCTGGCCCTCGTACTCGACACGCAGAGACTGAGAGTTCATGTTGGTGAATGGAGTAGTCAGCTTCAGTTCAGAGTTAAATTTCTCAATTAAGCCATCGTGGTGAAGCTCTGCAGTGATGGATGGAACACGAGGGTGGGAAGTGCGTAGTTCCGCGGTGATGTCAACTTTTGGCAAGGCAACTGTGTGGCTCACTTCAAGGGACATCTGCTCGTACTTGTTGACTGGAGTCTTCACCCTCAGGGCTGACTTCTGTGTCCTGTCATGTTCAGCTTCAAGGCTCCACTTGTCTTCAAGGCCAAGTTTTGTTTCAAACTTGTTAAGTCCTCCAGCATGGGACATGGTGGCAGAGGTATCAGCGAAAGGCAGTTTAGCTTCAAAGTTGAAGGTCTTGCTCTGGAGGTTGAAGTTCACATTAACAGATTGCTCCTCTGGCAGTCTGAGAGTGCATTTAGAGTTGAAGCGTCTCAGAACTCCACTGTGTTCACAGGAGATTCCAACATTTCTTAGACCACGGTATGAAGTGCGGAGGTTGCCTGAAGTGGAGAAGCTGCGCAGAGACCCCTCATGTCTAATTTCAATGGTGTCAATTTTGGCAACTGGGATGGACCCATCAACAGTAACCTTGGTGCTGGCTTTGTCCCAGGTCAGGCGAATATTCTGCCTCTGAGGGAGCTTTAAAGTAACGGCACTTTCAAATGCGTTCAAGTTACCATCGTTGCTCAGGGTGAGCCCAACATTTTCATAACC